CAGTTTTCTCTCCACTTAATTTTGTTTGGAGATCTTGCAATTGCCCACAAGTCTTGCTTCAGTACCTCTCCTTTGTGCTTCTCATTAAAATTCTGGTAAATATGTCTGACACAAAACCTGTATTCTGAATCTGGCCAAACTTTGTGCACTGCATTTATTAAACCTTTCTGTTTGTCACTCATGATTGTGAAAGGTGCAGTGTTAGTGATGTTGAGATCATCTCTCAGAGTGGTCAGAAACCACTCCCATGAACTTGTGCATTCAACTTCCACCCATCCCATTGCAATTGGGAATATGCAGTCATTGGGATCAATACCAATAGCACTAAGTAACACTCCTTTGAACCTTGTTTTCATGTGACAACCATCAATGAAGATGATTGGCCTGCATCCCTTTAGCCACCCTCTCTTACATGCATCATATGACCAGTACAATGTTTTCAAACATTTCCTGCCCAATGGAAATTTTGTACCTTTCACCAGTGAAGTTGTGAGCAGAAATGTAGACCCAGAGTTTTTGGTCCTCAATTCTTGTCCATAGTCTCAAAGCCTACTGAATTGCTCTTCCTCATCACCATGAATCTCATCAAGTGCTTGCTTTCTAGCCCTAGCAAGCTTTCATCTGTTAGGAGTAACATTGAATTCCTTAGTAATTTTCCTTGAAAATGTTGCAAGTGACATATTCTGGTCATCTCTGAACTCATCCAAGAAAAACTGGCACATAAACTTGGCTGTCAAATCCTTCAACTTCCACTTTTTCTGACAGACATGTTCTCCAAAGTAGGCCTTGATGACAAATCCTCCAGTCCTGTTCTCCTTGCTAACTTTAAGCATATGTGGGCAACCTCTCTGACAAACAACCTCTAATATGATCTTATCATTCTTCAACTTCTTGATTTGCACTCTGCTCCTTATAGAATAAGCAGTAAGAGCTTTCCTCAGCTCAACCACATCAGCAAATACTATCCCTAATTTAAATATAGGGGATTTCATGTCCACCTTGGAATTGAAAGCTTTGAACTTGTATTTGAGTTGCTCTTGCTCTTCAACAGAGAGGTTTAGATCTTCATCCTCAAGTACATAGTCTGGCTCCACCTCTTCCTCAACTTGCTCAGCTTCTTCATCAACATCAAAATCAATGTTGTCTTCATATAAATCATCATCTCCATCATCTCTGTCATACTCACTATCAATGAACTCTGAATCTGAGAGCACTGCATCCTCTGCACCATCATACAACACATTCTCTGCTGCTCCACCATCTGTCAGCAAGTTATCTGTTGTTGCACCATCAGTTAGCAAAGTCTCTATTTTTGTTCCATTAGCAACCAAGTTGTCTGCTGCCACCTCTGAAATGGGATCTTCAACATTGACTGAAATGAGGTTGTGAGAAGATGCTACACTGACCGCAACAACATTTGACCTGGCCATTATGACAGAACTCTGAACTGTTGGCACTATCAATACCAAATCTTCCCTGCAATTACTGATGAAATTTGCATGGTCAACCATTATTGCAAGCACCTTATGCTGACTACTAGCTCTGATCATGTGCTGCACATCCTCATCACCTCTAATTCTCAACATACCATCTGAAATTGTTTTGTCAAGCATGCACCAGTAAATTATGTGCTTAGCCACAGGGTATCCCAACCATAGCAAGTGCTCTTCAATAGCTGAATATGAGAATGTGCCAGCATCAACATAGTCAAGCACCTCCACAGAAGGATTATAATACTCCATGTTATTTCTTGGTCCACAGAAAAGCCCACCATGCTCAAGTTCCAGTGTAAAGAAAGGGGTGTCCACAATCTATCCCATTGCTGAATCACAAACTGGAGCAAGAAAGTGCATAATGTAAGCAAAACCATCCTCAAACAACCTCTAAGTAGGTAACTAAAGAGTAAAGTAACTGCAACTCAACTTAATAAATTCATACAAAAAAATTGTGTAACCTGCAAGTTAACTCCAAGAAGCAAGTTGACTGAATTTATTCAGTTAACTGCATGCTACAAGTTCACTGAGTAAATTCTGTGATGCATTCTTTTTGCAAGAACAGGGTAAGCACAATCTTCAACCAAACTCAACCAACCACAATCAACAATAGTATCTTGCAGACTAAATTCAGTTAACTGACTAAATTCAGTTAACCGACTACATTCAGTTAACTGGTTACATTTAGATAACTGATCTAGCAAGATAAAACAAAAAGAAAGCATTCTAATGATGTAGTGGCACTACTAAACTGCTGAGTATCTACTAAACAGCAGCACTACAACTAGAAATTTCATATTTTTGGAAGTACAAACATGCGCCCTGCTGGTCAGTGTCAACCCTACAACCAAAACAAATTGGGCACCCATGTGCCCTGTTGGTCAATGTTAACTGCCAAAACAGTACATTGTGCCGCAAAGAACATGAAACACAAGAACCCTAGCTTCTTGGCGAAATCCCAAATTTCACAGCCTAAACCCTAGCCTGAAATCAACGATCACCTCAATAACCAGCTTCGCAGCGCCGGAAGCTGTACAAACACAAAAATCCACCGCAAATACCCGCAACGCTATCCAAAGAGGGTGATCCGCCGGTGCTGCGGGCGACACGGCAGGACGATCAAACCAGAGGAGGAGGGGAAGGAACAGAGCAGAGAGCGGACGACGCACCATAGTCGGGAGGAAAGACGCCATGCGGGCTAACTTGATGCGCGGTCGGAGGAGGGACGACACCGCCGTTGTACTCCGGCGACGACGCTGCCATTGTTGCTGACGTCAGCCAGCTCCTGGCGCACACGGTCGGTGCGAGCAAGACAACTGCCAAGTGGATGAATGATTGGGGTGGGGAGGGGGCAAAATAAATTCAGGTGTTTTTTGTTTCGACGGGGACGGAGTAGTGTGGGTTGATTCATCACAAAGGCAGGGGGCTAAGTGCAAAATGTCGTGCGCTGACCAGCCTGGCCACTTGGCATCCACTTGGCGAGTTCTGATTGGCCCTCGACTAAATTTGCACATCCATGACAAGTCGAGGGATGAAATAATCCACTTTTTCAACTTCAAGGACCAAACCATCACCTGACATGCAAGTTCAGGGACCTGCAGTGTGTGTGTTGGACTCTTCTCTTCTCATTCCTACGCGCCCTCTGAGCTCTTTCTAAATTGAACGTTGTATATCAAAGTAATGGAAATGCGTTTATCCTAGTTTTGAAAGAAAAAAACATGGAGCCCAAGACGCTGCAGGCGGCGCCTAGCCACAATGTGTCAAGGGGGCAATATCGAGCGCAAGGCCATGCCGGTCTGCAGTGCGCTGATCCACAGCCCTTGTCATTGTTGCTCCCAACACTTCATATCGTTACAGGAAAAAAAATGATTCGCGTCTCTTTTGCCATAAGAAAAATGTGGGTGCAAACAGGCTCTATTAATATCTCAAATTTTAACTTGGTTGTGAAGCAGCATTCCATCTATGATGCCATCCACGCTCAGGCCGCTGCTCGCCAGGAAGCGACCGCGGCCGAGGCGCAGCTTCAAGCGATCGCCGAGGAGAGCAACGCCAGTTGCGCCTCCTACGCGCTGCCGACGAACCATCAGGCGGCCCGGTTGGACGACGGCAGCGCCGGCGCCACCATTTTCCATCGTGGACCTCACGTCCACTGGCGACGGACAGGCCGCAGACTCCTCCGAGGATGAGTAGACCACGGGAGGCGGCAGGGCCTGGTGTTCCCTCTGTGTTGGTCTGTCTTCCATGTTCTACTCTTTCTCACCGGAGACCGCACGTTCACTTCACGGGTCTTATCGCCGGTGGACATGGAGACGTCGGATGGAGGACATGGACACGGGCTAGGATGCCAAGCGACGCCGCAGGATAAGTTTAGGGTCGGGTCATTTTTTTCTTTCTAAATGTTTAAGATGTGATGAAAATACTGCGTGTTTGTATGAAATCCGGCTGTGTTTGCATGAATTTAATCCGGTTTGTTAATTATTATTTTTTTGAAATTTATGCGGCTACGGTTGGATGTCGTCCTCCGTATCCATGCCCGCGGACTGGTCCCCCTCTCCGCGGACGGATGCGGAAGGAAATTTACGGGTTGCTGTTGGAGATTCCCTTGATATGCAATACATATGACATATCTAGATGTGCTTTAGTAAAACTGTTATAAAAAAACAAAAAAAAACTAATTTCTCAGTGCAACTAGAGAGAAAAGGAGGGAGACAAAAAATGCACTGTATATAAAAAAGAGATACCAAATTACATAAAACTCTTAACAGTTCCAAAATGAAAAAGGCTCCGAAGAAAAGCTGCGCTGACAAAAGGGCCACTCCATGCGTGCGCCTTCCTGCTAATGAAGAAAAAGAAAACGGCTCATGGTCAGCGCGCATACGATCCAGCATACGACTCAGCATGGTCAGCGCAGCGCGCATCACTTTGGATGCAAACGAATCGGACGGTCCCCGTGTGTGTGATTGAGACATCGCTGTTTCTCAGCCTGAGAAGAGAACGGACGTGGAGTTTCTATGAGCTCGGGTGAACAGTAAAATAAAAAAAATCGAAAAAATTCCAAAAAATTCCAAATTTTTTTTGGTAGAAACATTGACAAAAGTTTAAGTGCTTGCAAAAATTCGTCATGAAATCATATTTCTAGAAGGCGTGGCAAAAAAACAAAATCGGTACTCTGAAAATGCTACTTTCAAAAGCATTTTGGAGGCTGAATTTGTTTTTTTTCCACGCCTTACAGGAATGTGATTTCATGATGAATTTTTGCAAGCACTTAGAACTTTTGTCAATGTTTCTCTGAGAATTTTTTTTGGAATTTTTTGAATTGTTTTTATTTTTTTTAATTTTACTGTTCACCGAGCTCAAATGAGCTCGGGAGTAGAAAGGCACTTTCGAAAAAGTTCACATTATTACCGAAGAAGAGAGAAACTTGACATACATCGTAAAAAAAAACAACTCCGTTTTAAGTTACATTTTGCAAACACTTGAATAAAATTCTACTCTCAGTCTCTGCTATTACATGAAGCTGCAATCCTCGTCAGCAAAACCTAGCCCTGAGCGTACCGTGTCATACACCACCCTCTTGTTCTTCTGCTGGTAGTTCCCTATGATTGGCGTCTGGTCTTCGTAGGGAAGGCCCGCCATCGCCAGGCACACCTGAGACCCGTCCTTCTTCGCCATGAAGAGCATCCCGGCGGCCTCCACGGTCACGTCGGCGCCGCCCTCGAGCCGCAGCGTCAGCAGCGGCACGTTCACCTCGTCGTGCCCCGTCAGGTTGTAGCACGTGTCGAGGAGCGAGAACCCCGGCGCGGCGGGGTACCCGGCGGCGCTGAACTGGCGCGCGAACTCGGCGCGCACGGCGCGGTACACGGACGGCGCCAGCCGCGAGATCACCGTGCCCGAGTCGATGAGCACGTTGCTGGCGCCGAGCCCCGACGCGGTCATCGCGGCGCCGCCGACGGACGCGCCCGTGACGTTCATGAAGTAGAATGGGGGCTGAGCCGGGTCTGCGATCATGCGGGTGTATGCCACGGGCGTCGTGTTGCGGTAGGAGGATGGGTCCCTCCCTAGGGAGAGGGACCCCGAGGAGTCGCCGGAGGTGGTCGCCGGCAAACAGTAGGAGAACACGCCGCCGAACCGGGATGCCGTCTGGGAGACCAGCGACAGCTCGGTCCGGCCGAGGCCCATGAGCCCCGCTGTTCCACCGAACAGCCCGTGGTTGCTGAGCCCGCAGCCAAAGACGAAGCCGTTGAGGTTGGCGCCGCCGAGGCCGACCGTGTCCGTGGCCAGCACGCCGCGGCTGAACGACCCGTCGCCGTAGCCTAGCGCGTAGTAGCATCTCTCGCTTCCGCCGCCGCCGCCTCCCCTGGCGCAGAATCCGGGCGCGCCCGTGGCCTCCTTCAGCGAGGCCGCGCAGGCGGAGGCGTTGCACGGGACGGCGGCGTAGGTGGCGGAGCTAGCGGGGTCGAAGAGTGGGTCCCGCTGCTCGTAGCAGGCACGGCAGGGCTTGCACTGCACCCAGGTGAGGTCGCTGCCGGTGTCCACGATGACGTTGAGCTTGGCGGCGGCGCCGGAGGAGTCGCCGCCGAGCGCGATGGTGGTGACGTAGTTGAGTGTCTGGAAGCGAATGCCAGAGGTCAGCGGGACCTGGGCCGCCGCCTGCCGGGACTGTATGGACGCTGGCCTGGGGAGCTGCAACGAGGCAGCACGAGCGGCGTCGGCGGCGAGGAGTCGGCTAAGGTATCCTTCGCTGCCGGCGGGCTGGTTGGAGATGGTGGCCGGAGAATGGTGCTTCAGCTCTAGCACGGTGGTTGCTCTGCTTGCTCCCTCTGCTTTCCTGTGCCCTCCTGGAGAAGATGAGATGGACCAGAGTGACGAGTGTAAGAACCCATCAGTCATCAGAGACCTGTAGATTCTACAAGTATTGTACGTGCATGCATGCTGGTTGGAGTATCAAATTTTGGAACTAGATCATGATTTGGATTCTAGATATGGTTTCGCAGTGTCAGCAGCATAGAAGGGCCACCGAAAAATACAAAATGTAAAATTCCACGTACGGTTGTCAGAGAATATGGATAATATGTAAATTCGTATGCATGCATCTTTGTAAGACTGAGCCCATGTTGACACTTACCGTTTTATCAAGTTTTTTTTTTTTTGCGAGGACGTTTTACCATTCTCTGTTCATGGCTTCTCATTTTTATTCTTTAACACCTCGAATTCTTATCGATCGGCAGTTGTACATATTTTTTGGAGAGTTCTCCCTAGGAATAGTGGATTATGAATGTGTGGTCTACATAGTAAACTCTACCTCTCATAATATGATATTGCCGAGGAATGCTTCAAGCCTTCAACCATGCTTTTAGATAAATCTAATCTAAGGTACAACTCGTACGTAGAATTGAAGAGAACAAGTTGCTTACCTAGGATCTGAGCTTTGCTTTGTTGCTCATAGCGGCCCTGGATCTTCCTCGCGGCAGCACCCCACTCCAACTCACGCAGCGACAGCACCGCGCTCTTCTTCCCAACGACGACGGCGCCGCTGCCGGCGGCCGCCGCATTGCCAGCGACGGCGAGAAGCGCGAGGAGGCGGAGAAGAAGGTGGCGCCCGCGAGCAGAGCTGGAAGAAGCGGCCGCCATTGGAGTGGACCTCGCTCGCGGGAGGGAGGGAAGCGAAGCTAGCGACGAAGCAGGAAGTGGGAGGCGCGCAACGGACAAGAGAACGTGAATGCGAGAGAAGGAGAGGATACGTACACGTACACTGGGAGTGTACATACCTACCGGGAGATGGATGGGATCGACATCCTTGTAGTTTTGAGCAGAGATGCTCGGGGTCGAGGGCGCCCATAAGAGAACAAAGAGAAGGGGGAGGGGAGGGAGAGATCGGAGAATACGCTGTCACTCTGTTGGATGCATGCGTGTGCGTGTGTGTGAGAGAGAAAGCGAGACCGTGTGGGGCGCATGCATGCATATGAACGCACGCACGACGCGGGAACACGGGGGTACTGTAATTTTGTAGCTTTGTGAAATGTTTAGAATCACGGGCGCGAACAGGGGAGAGAAGAGGACGCTGGTGGCCTGCATCTCGTCAACTCGATCGACTCCTCGCGCGGGGATGCATTGCGTGCGGCTTACGTAGGTCCAGCATTACCCGTCACTCAATAATGCTACTACATCTACGAAACACGGGAAATAGTTTTCACCCTACAACTACAAGATCCTAGCTTCCTCCCACCCCCGCGTCGCCCTCCTCTGGCGGCTAGGGGGGATACCCTAAATCCGCCGCCGCCTCCCTCCCTCTCCCGTCCCTCCCCTCGCCGCCGCCTGAGGGGCTCGCCGGCGAAGCCCGGCCGGCTTCGGGGACGGCGGCGGCGAGGCGTTCTTCCTGCATCTGCGACGGCTTCTAGAGGCCGAGCCTCGTTCGCCGATGGCGGCCAGATCTCGGGCTGGCTTCTGCCAAGACCGACGTGGTGGCAGGGATGCAGGCCGTCGGCGCGTGGAGCGCCCATGGGGGATTGGTGCGGTGACCTTGCTCGAGATGGTGATGCGCCAAGGCAAGGTCGCGGTGGTGGTTTCTTCGGGCCGGCTAGATCCGAGCCCGCCCGGGCAGGAGGAGGACGCGCGGGTTGCGGAGCGTTGTGGTGGAGGTTGGAGGTGACGCTCCTCTGTCGTGTATCTGGTGGGTGTGCGACGGTGGCTGCTGGCGGGGCCGGCCAGATCTGGGCCCTCCCTGGCTCGTGGCCGGTGCGAGTGGTGGTGCGGACCGCAGCGCGTGGTGCAGACGCGGTGCTTCGCCGTGCTCCGGTCTGGATGTGAGGAGGGGTAGCTCCAGATCTACTTGTGAGTGCGTCCGGGGTGCTTTCCCCGACATAGGTACGCAATTCCTCCGGACGAAAGTCCTTCTCGTTGCCGGCGATGACAGCGCCCATGGGTGTTGTTTCCTTGTTGAAGGCCTCACCGAGGAGATCTTGCACCTCTCTCGCCCTCGAGTTCGGTCTCCGGGTGAAAACCTAGATCTGCCTTGTTGGATCGGCGATGACGGCGTCATTGGCGTTGTTTCTTTGTTGGAAGCATTGCTATGGAGATTTGACCTCTTGGTGAAAGCACATTGTTTGGCGTGTGGTGTCCAGTCCGGAGATGGTGGTGGCGGGGTGATGATAGGATAGGGTCTGCGGTGGCGTGTCCGTCGGGGTTTGGCTATTGGCCAGTGGTGTTTTGGACATTAGAGCACTCTTGATATGCAGACAGCGCCAGACAAGTCTTGTTGACTGTCCTCTTGCTGCCGGAGCGGCACATGTCTGCTCCTCTTTCGGATATGTCTTCTCTCTCCGGTGTCGACGAAGTTGTTCAGCATGCTTGTGGCCACCATGATCGATGCGGCAGCTTGGTGTACTTGTGTGATGTTGCAACGAAGTCAAAGTCGTTAGTCCGTGAGCGCGGTTCGTGATATACGATGACGCCGCTTTATTGCCAATGTACATTCTGTTTGTATTGTGTTTGCTTGGTTCTTTGGCGATTATGTATGCCATGTAGTGCTTAGACCTAGTTTTGCTAGGTGTGATGTGTCCTTTTGTACAGGTTTTCACCCGGTTTTCCTTTAATAAACCGAGCAGTTTCAGCCTTCGGGCTTCTTCTTCTGCAATGGAATCTTAGCAGCTCTCCTGCTAACTTTCAAAAAAAAATCTACGAAACACGCTACGAAAGGTCACGTAAACTTCCTAACTAAATCTCTCTCCCTCCTGATTTTCATGGGGTGGGCCGCTTCAACCCCCTAATCCTCCAATCCTAATTTGAACCCCTACTAACCAGTTTCCAAACATATTTCCGAACATATTCGTACTACTCATCGGTGGAGGTAAATTAAAGGCTATATGGACATACCGCCACAAAAGTTTGGCAAGCGGATATTAAAGGAATAGATGTCGAATGGACTCCTTGCTACCAACAAAGCAGTACTTTGTGCTTCCCTGTTAGTTCCTTTTTTTCATGTTATCTTTGGTTAGGATCACCTTTCGATCCCAGATACACATGAAGATTTTAATTCTCAACGAAAATTTAAGTTTCAAAATATAGTTATGGTCGAAAGGTCTACCATCATTGATGAGGTTCATATACATGGATTTGGCTAAAAAGCACTGGAAGTGTGCAACTTCCAACGGAATGTGTTTGTTTCCTCGCTAAGGTTGATTGTCATTAACCTTGTAACGAGGTGTATCCAGTCTTTCCATTTCCCTCCGATGAGTGTCCGTCGAAATTCAATATTTAGCTGGACTTGGCCCATTACCGTGGCAATAGAAACATCCTTCCGCTCACGATATGAGAGAGACACAAGTATGACATAGCTAGAGGCTCATCCCTTAGCCATGTGTTCTTTCAAAATCTTGTGGTTAAGCCATTGACCACCAAGAAAGCTCCCTTGAAAAAACACTTATGTTTTAACCCAATAAACCTTTTTTAGAAAGGTGAGTCACTTGGTTTGGCTTGAACCTAAGAGAGGGTTTTAGAGTGAGGGAACTTATTTTTTAGCACCACTTGCCAAACATCATCCTCAGTGAATATCTTGTAGAGCCATTTGCTCAACGAGCACATACTTTTAATACTAAGATCCTCCACGACCAGTCCTCCTTAGTTTTCTGAAAGAAAAATCGTATCCCATCTTGTGAGACTATATATGTGTTATGTTTGTCACATTTCCAGCAAAATCTAGATCTATAGCATTCCAATCTTTTTTGTACCCTTTTAGTTATTTCAAAGGAGAACAACATGAACATCGGTAGACTCATGATAACTACATTGATTAGGCTTAGTCTTGACCCAATGGACATAAGATTTCTCATCCAATAACCTATCTTGATCTCAAAGATCCTTGATACATTTACATTCCTTGTTGAGGAGTTTCCCAAACTACATTGGAATGACATGGTATATAAACAGTCAAGAGACAAATTCGTAACCAAAAATTTGCTTATACTGATCCTCTTCCCCTTTGTCCTTTCAAAAGGCAAAGAGCTTGCTCTTGTGGAAGTTAATCTTAAGACCCGGTAACTGCTCAAACAGACCAAAGATAAAGTTCCATAGTAAAGAGAAAGATTTTTTTCTTAGCTGCTTTTAGAGGCTAGTGCGGAATATAAGTTCTCTAGAAAGGCAACTAGGTGTGATACAATCCTATATGATGTGTTACAACAAACTAGCAAGCTACACAAAGTAATAACAGCAATTAAAGCTAGGGTTCATAGACAACCAGAAGTAGCGGAGACGATGATGTAATCCGAAGTTCACATACTTGGGGTGTGCTAATATCCGTTGGAGAGGGGGGACATCGAATGCTCCCATGAAAATGAATGTCTCACCTTCTTGTCCGAGAACCTCAAGCAATGAATGCTTAGGTTCCATACCACGAGGGATAGCTCTTGGGGCGAGCTACAAACCCCCACAAGAGAGCATTGGTAACAAGCACATGATTTGGAAGCTCCCGAGAAACACCGCTAGTCTAGGGCTCCCCACAAACCCAAGCGCCACTAGACTCTCTAGGATCTCATGGAGAATCAGCAAACTCGAGTTGTTCTTGGATGGATTGGTAGAATAGGTGATCATCTTGCTCTCTATAAAAGATGGAGTGGATTGGATGGCTAGAGGGGGAAGAATCGAAGAATTAAACTTTTAGATCAATTGTGTGAGCGTAGTGGAGTTGTCCCCTTCTCAAGTAAGATCTCAAGGAAGAAGGGGTATATAAAGGTCAACCCAAAAATCTACCTGTTGTGCATTGTCCAGCTACGTCGGTGTTGGGTAACATAGTAATTCAAAATTTTCCTACGATCACGCAAGATCTATCTAGGAGATACATAGCAATGAGACGGGAGAGTGTATCCATGTACCCTCGTAGACCAAAAGCGGAAGCGTTTAGTAACACGGTTGATGTAGTCGAACGTCTTCACGATCCAACTGATCCAAGTACCGAACGTAAGGTACCTCCGTGTTCAACACAAGTTCAGCACTATGAAGTCCCTCGTGCTCTTGATCCAGTTGAGGACGAGGGAGAGTTCCGTCAGCACGATGGCGTGGCGACGGTGATGATGAAGTTACCGGCGCAGGGCTTCGCCTAAGCACTACGACGATATGACCGAGGTGTTAAACTGTGGAGAGGGGCACCGCACACGGCTAAGAGATTGTCTTTTGTGCTTTGGGGTGCCCCCCTGGCCACGTATATAAAGGAGAGAGAGGAGGAGGCCGGCGGCCAGGAGGGGCGCGCCATAGGGGGAGTCCAACTAGGATTCCCAATTCTAGTTGGAGTCTCCTTCCTTTTCCAAGAGGGGGAGAGAGGGAAGGAGGAGGAGAGGGAGAAGGAAAGAGGGGGGCACCCCCCTCCCTAGTCCAATTCGGACTTGCCATGGGGGGCGGCCGCCCTTGCGTCCCTCCTCTCCTTTTCCGCTAAGACCCATGAAGGCCCACTACTTCCATGGGGGGTTCCGGTAACCTCCCGGTACTCCGAAAAATACCCGAATCAATCGGGAACCATTCCGGTGTCCGAATATAACCTTCCAATATATCAATCTTTATCTCTCGACCATTTTGAGACTCCTCGTAATGTCCGTGATCTCATCTGGGACTCTGAACAAACTTCGGTCATCAAATCACATAACTCATAATACAAATCGTCATCGAACGTCAAGCGTGCAGACCTTACGGGTTCGAAAACTATATAGACATGACCGAGATGTTGGAAATATAACCTAGAGGCAATAATAAAATGGTTATTATTATATTTCCTTGTTCAT